GCATGACTAAAAATAGAAACTAAAGTGCAAACGTTGAACACATGAATAACCCCAAGCTTTTCAGACAGGGTTTAAAGGGTCTGCATCATGCTATTTTACACCTTCTAGAGCAATGATAGGCACAGTGTATGTAAAATATCACTGTTGGCACTGCTGAGATGTCATTTTTTATGAAAGTGTTATTTTCATGAGCCATTCCTTCAACCTGGAAATTAGTCACTAGGATTTAATAGAGAACCCCACCTTGTGCTAATTCCACAATAGTACACAGCTGCAGACCCCAAGACCACAGATTTTCACCGGCACGTCCGGCAATATAAAACGGTCAAATGCTCCCAAACAGCGGACTTTGCATGGTACATGGCAAGGTTATTCAATTCCAGGCCTCGAGGGCCGAGATCCAGCATGTTTTAGTTTTAACCCTGCTTCAACTCACCTGATTTTAATTAGCAGGTGATCAACAGGCTTCTGCAGAGCCTGATGAGCTGCTGAACAGGTGATTCAACCACTGAATCTAGTGTGTTGGAGCAGAGAAACCACTAAAATGTGCTGGACACCACTGGTTGAGCCATTCCTCAGATATGTCATACTTAGACATTTTAAGTAGCTGAAGAGTTTGATGTATAATAACCCATGCAGGGGCCTCCCTACACCCCGGACTCTGCGTTGTGTAATTTTGTGTTGGATTGGGGTGCACAATAGAGAGACCAGTCGGACACAGGCGTTCAATTAGTAAATCCAAGTAGTCATACTTTATAGCCTTGTGCTTTGTTTTCACACTAACACAACATATGCTCTGGAGCATCACATCTCAGAGCATATGTCAAACAACTGCTAAATGGCGTGCTGACAGCACTGAGCTAAGAGAAAAGTGCTCTATCACTGTGTTCATGGATATAACAAGACTGAAAACTGCAAGAATTAGAGGAAAACATCTGGAAGCTTTAATTCCTGATGTTGCATGGGAATCGTTTCCCAGCAGCATATTTTCTGCTTGTTGCGCAAGTTAGAAGATCGAACAAAGCTGCCCGTTGAAAGCTTCCCTTTGCTGTCCTGAAGTGTCCCTGTGATGTAATTTAAACAGCCAATCACTCACGACGCAGCCTTTCCAAACAGCTGACACAATGAGGCTGACCAAATGATCCTGCCCTTTACTATCCGCAGGCTGCGTATCGACTCTGCCGTGTGGAGAACAAGGGAAAATGTTTCAGGGAAAAGCTGTGAGATGTGAAGCATTTGGACACAGCCTTCAAAATAAACCAATAAACCATTTTCCTTTGGTCTGTTGTGATCTCTGTTTCATAAAGAGAAGTATTAATCAGATTTATGCTGTTGGAAACATGAGGAGGAACAGATGGCATGAATGAAATGAGATTTTTGGTATCACGAGCACAGCTCACTCAGCGCTTCATCATAATTGTACAAAACAGAAAGAGAAAAATAAAATGGATTCTCAAGAGCTGATAAGTTGAAGCTCGGGAATTTTAATTGATCTGAAAAGCTTTGACGTTATATTAGGAATTCAGAAACGCTCATTAGAAAGCATCCCTTCTGAGAGAAACGGGCCGTGGTTCAGAGTTCAAAAGAAGTCTGAAATCATTTAAATCTGAAGAACTTGTTTGGAGTTAAATACATTATGATCCTAAAGTGCTAAATTAGATGAAAAGAAACTTAAATTATTTGTTCCAAAACCAGTTTAGTATTCATAATAATCTACTTGCTGTTATTTTACATTTCTGCATTAAAGCTCAACTGACACATATTTGGCCTTTTCTGGCAAACACAATAGATTAATACTCATTTACAAGGGCTACTGGAGACATTTACCCTAAAAAGTACAAAAAGCAGCAGAGAGGATGTTAAATGATTAAATAGAAGACTTAGTTTACATTTCACATTTAAAGGTACAGTATGTAAGAATTCTAGGATAAAATAAGTACGAAACAGTCTAATGTTTCATTCATGTTGGAGGGAAGGTTGCATTGAAACAGATTTATTTTTCAGCCAGCTGGGGTTTTTCAGTGTTTTTCTTTCAAAAAGGCCAAAGAGGGACATAGTTACTGTTTACAACCTGTGGGCCCGTGAGAGGAGTGTGTATAAACTAACGCTGCAGCCATGACATTTATTATTGGACACAGGTGTAAAAACACATCAGTGTTTTTTTTAAAGAACCAAAGCCCCTTTTTGTACTCCTAAGTCTTGCATCTATTTTTTACTCTAAATTTAAGTAAAGAGGATTCAATTCAATTCTATTTAATTTATATAGCGCCAAATCACGACAAGAGTCGTCTCAAGGCACTTCACATAATAAACATTCCAATTCAGGTCAGTTCATTAAGCCATTCAGAAATAATGTTTCCTATATAAGGAACCCAGCAAAATGCATCAAGTCACTGACTAATGTCAGTGACTTTACAGCAATCCTCATACTAAGCAAGCATATAGCGACAGTGGAGAGGAAAACTCCCTTTTAACAGGAAGAAACCTCCAGAGGATCCTGGCTCAGAATAAGCAGCCATCCTCCACGACTCACTGGGGATCAGAAGACAGAGCACACACACACACACACACACACACACACACACACACACACACACAAAGACAAAGTAGTCATATTGTGATTTCTTAGTAAATATTCTATTTGGTGAGAGATAAACTTTATTGTATTTATCCTAGTGGATCTATAATTAAACGGGTAAACTAGCAGTAGCACATCCAACGTCAAGGAAAGCAAAAAGTTATTATCAGGAGAGGGAGAATGTTTAAGTCACATGTGTCCGACACAAGGCCCGCGGAGAATTAAACCAGGGAGCCAACTTCCTGTCCCTAATTACCTTCTTTTTTAAAGGGGCAACAGATTCTAATGCCACACGTAAAGAGGAATTAACATGATGAACTAAGGCATCAATTTGTGAGGGGTTGAACTGAAAATATTGCCCTCTGCTACGTGCCTCTGAGATGCTGAGGACAGTAAAGATGGAACAGTTGATTGAAAAGATGCAACTGCATTGTCAGATAGAGAACGACTATAGTGAAATTTACTTTCATGTCTCGAGAACTCAGTTATAAAAAACTCAAAGGTTATCAGAAAATGGTCCGAGAGGACTGGATTATGTGGAAAGATCGTTATTTCCTCACACTCTATGCCACATGTGTCAGACACAAGGCCCGCGGGCCAGATGCGGCCCGCGGAGCATTTTTATGTGGCCCGCGAGATAAATATCAAAAATATATTAAAACTGTTTTTTTAGGTGTGTTCTTGCTGTGCGTTATTTCTAATTCCATGTTGTCGTTCTTTTTTAAAACACAGAAACGGTTTTGTTACCTGTCTTTGACGCTACGTTTCACCGACGGCTGCCGGCTTCTTCAGGGTGACGAACCAGCGGTTGAAAGACAGCAACCGACTAAACATGCGGCTAAACATGTCATCACTGGTCCAATCAGGCAGGGGGCCAGAGAAAATTATGGAGTCCGACATTGTTTTGGCAAACTTACACACCGAAGCAACATTAATTTTAGTGACCTCCGATTGGCGTAACCGGGTGTCGTTACCGCCAGCGTGAATAACAGTCTTACTGTATTTACGCTTATCCTTAGCCAGCAGTTTCAGATAAGATTTAATGTTGTCCGCTCTGGCCCCAGGTAAACATTTAACTATAGTTGCTGGAGCCTCTAATGCCACATTTCTGACTATGGAGCTGCCAATGATCAGAGTCGGCTTGTCAGTGGGTGCGTCACTGAGCGGGGAAAATATATTAGAAACATGGACGGGTTGGTGGTGGTCCACGGGCTGGGTTCTCCTGCATACCTTCACCCAGCCGGCCTGAGGTCCCGGCTGCTCGGGTTCTGCTGGAGGATCGCTACGGGGTGGTTCTGAGCTAGTTAGCCCTGCGCTAGCTAAGTAGCTACGGCTGTTTACGGGTTTTTCAACAGTGCGGAGCCAGGACTCCAATTCCGACACCCTCGCCTCCAAAGCTACAAAAATGCTACATTTATTACAGGTACCATTATCACTAAAGGAGGCAGAGGAGTAAACATCTGACACAGAGAGCAAGAGATAGGAGATGGAGAAGCAGAGACAGAAGTAGCCATAGCCGTGCTGAGGCTCAGCTAACTGGACGAGCAAACTGTTCAACACCAAATAAACTGCATGCGAACTCAAATGGTTCCCTAAAAGCTAGGTGGGACAACAGAAAATGTGTGTTTTAGCATGCTTATGTGCTACAATAACTCAGAGATATCCTAGTACAGAGAAATTAAATCAGTTTTGGCGAGCCCCAAACACCAAACAGCTACATGTAGTGCAACACTGAAAACAGGAAACAGGAAACGCCTTACCGCCAGGTGCAGCCAATCAGCCAATCAGCAAGCCTCACAAGCCTCCAAGAAGTTCAGTTGCCTTCATTAAAAACCATGTGGAGAGTTTTGGAGCTCCGTGTAAACTGTCTCTGTCCCTTTTTTCTGTGGAGCTGGTAATTAGCTTCACCCTTCCTGTTTATGAGGGCTGGAAACCCCAGCAGCCAGTTATCTATGCCTATGAGGACAGAGGCTAAAGTTGAGCTAACAATGTTAATGGTGAATTAGCATAAAATAGTTGTCTCTAAAAGTATGTAAAGCTATTTTTTTCCTATTATCAACAACTTGATAGTACAGTCCAAATTCATTTATCAACTTATAAGCTTGTAAGACTCGTCATCTACAATCTGCTGGTGCTGCTCTGTAACTGGTAACAGCATGAAACTCATGGAACGGCAGTGAAAGGGTCACTTCTTGTTTTGAAAAATGGGCTGCAGTACCCACATTTGTCCACAGGATGTAATTCTTACATATTGCACCTTTAAAACACAATGTTGTTAGCAGAAATAAAACAAGCATAAAACATGCCCCCATACAAAAAAATTTAACATCCAAATAATAAAATAAATGGCAATTCAATAATAAGATAAAGGAATTTCATCCTTTCTCTTATTATAAAAAAACTAAAATAACAAATTTGTATTCATATTTTCATAACAAGCTTCATTACTAGTCTTTAATCACTATGCTGATATAAGTATGTTTTAAACATAAGTAAACAAAAGAAGTAGGAGGATTCGGACCAAACTGGGAACTGCTGAATAAAACACAAAAGAACAACAAAAATTATAATCATTAAGAAAACACAAGAACAGGAATAGAACATTTGTGTCCAGTTTTGACAATAAAAATCCTGTAGACTTCCAGTTATTGAATAATTAAACTCTAAAATGTAAGCAAATATTACTTGTGAGCGCCTGCTGAATCTTCATTTCAACACCTAAACAAAGATTTGTTTATATTTACCAAAACCAGTTAGTTTATCTCACTCAAACACTGATTTCTGTAATTTTCAGGGTTGAGATGCTTCTGATCTACTTAACAAATCAGGGAGAAAACCCTTGAAGTCAGAATGAATTCAAGGATTGAGAGTATTTGAACAGCAGGCAGAATGCTGCAGCATGTTAAACAGTTCAGAGTTGATGCCTAAAATGACAGCAAGAAGACTCTGGGCTTTGCAGCATTAGATTTGAAAGTGATTGTGCATGACTAACAGCTTAATGAGCTCCACTGTGCCTTGTTTTTTTTTTTCCATGTGTAGAGATTTGTGCATAAATCTTGTCCTTGAAAGTGTCGGTCCAGGGCTCCTTTGTCTCTGAACGTTAAGTCTTATTTTTGGATGTGACCTTCCTCCGTCCTCCCTGCAGCTGCTCCTGATGCCGAGGAGCAGACTGAGAACGGATGGGAGTCCTGCTGGGAACAGCAGCAGCACTCTGCCACTGGATCAATTTACATCTGTCTGCAAAGATGAAAAGATATGACCTGAAATTAAACATTTTAGCCTACAGGAAATGGATCACTAGAAAATAAGCTCTTCACTTGGTGTTTAGAACAAGCTAAGGCTGCAATTGTGTGACAGAATAAAAAAATAAAAATAAAAAAAGAAGGCAAACATCTGTGAGGTTGATTCTGTGTAAAAACACATCCAAACATCCTGCACAGCTTCTTTGGTCCCATCAGACGGGAACTCTGGTGATCAGTCACACAGCTGTCGAGAGTTTAACACACGTTTCTCAGTTTATAGCCAAATGTTTACATTATAAGTAAAGATAAACGTTAGGACACATAAACATGCCAAATGCATCCTTAAGTTAGCATCACTACATAGATCTATAAACTAGCTGGTGCTCTTTCAATTCTAGATAATGATTAATCATCTTGTCTTCATTTGCATATCTGCTAAATCTTGTTTGAATGTGATCAGTGTCTTGAAAAAAGATCCAAATAGTTGAAATAATAATAATAAATAGTAAAAGTAAAACAAATCTTTTGGTTCAGGTTCATTTTTCTCACCAATTACAGTTTGAACAACAAACAAAGGCGTGATTCACAGAAAGAAGCATTTCTTGGTCCTTTACTGCCCTCTAGTGGTTTTTTTAATTCATGTTTACACTTAAAAGAAGGAGTTACCATCTCTTTTTTGTACTGTGCATAAAATTTACATATTTTTACACACAAAAAAGAAGAAAAAAAAGAAAATTATGCTGATAATGGTGAAATGGTTGTAAAGTGTTAGTCTCCTGAAAAACTGTATTATAATTGAGGCATTTACATTTTTAGGAAGCACTAATGTGAATGAATCATAAATAATTACACGTATTGTTGTTGTTGGGTTTTATCAGGCCAAAAACAAGCTTGTTTGACTAACTGGTGACTCTAAATCAGCCCTGTGAGTGAGTGTGTGACTGGTCGTAATGATCTGAAACAAAAACATCAAAAACATGTTCTGCAGCAACAATACATCTAACGATAAAATAAATTTAAAAATACTATTTTACAAGATTTTTTTATTTTTCATATGAGAATTAAAAAAAATATTCAAGCGTAATTCCAACAGTCATGTCAAAATATATGTTTCTGATGGCTGGAAATAAAAATTCTCTGTTAAATAACTTTTATAAAGCATCGTAAAAAAATGTCATCAGTTAAATAAAATACATTCTTGGAAGGTAAAAACATACTAAAGAAAGTTCTGTTTTGTGTCATATAAATAAAAAAAACTAGATGAAGTTGTTTGAATCACACCAAACTTTCTGGAAGAGCTTCTGGGGTTTCGCTCGACAGCACCTGCCACACACACCACCTTTCGGTGTGTGTGTCGGGTTTATCAGAGGCTTTTTCCTTCACAGGCCTCGAGGCATGTGCTGTATCTACAGTCTGGAGGGCAGGGCTCTGCTGGGGCAGCTGGAGGCTTTCAGGAGCTCTCTGATGATTGAAAAATGGGAGTTTGGAGTGAGAAGTCTCTCTTAAAGGTCCAGAACACAGAGGCAAAGACAAACTGTCTGTCCTGTCCATGAATAATGGGCATGGAGGGCATTCTGTCCTTTGTGCAAAGGTGTCCAAGTTAATAGCTCCTGATTGGACGCTCGGTGACTGATGCGAGGATTCCTGCTGCCTCTGCTCTCTCTGGTCATGAGGACCGCTGCTGCTGCGAGTCAGCAGGGGGTGTGGCCTGCAGTCCAGAACACCCAATGGTGTTTGTGTCGATCTGACGGGCAGTTTGTTGTTGCCTTGGTGACTGCTCAGCCCCTCCGATGATCCGAACGAGTCACATTCTGATGCGTCTCCAAGGGAGCCTGTGAGGAACCGTTCATGAGTACTTCACATTTATCTTTTAACCCAAAGGCATCTGGGGCAAACTTAGAAAAACAAGAAGGTTCTGTTACCAGTAAAGTGATGGCCAAGAAAATCCTTCCCAAACAGCTCGTGCCAGGTGTCCCAGAAACAATCAGTCGAGGCTTCTGAGAGAAAACAGGAGAATTAAGAGGATTATAGAATATGTGGAAAACTATGACTGAACTGGAGTCGTGACCCTCCTTAGAAGCTTTCTTCTGCTTCTCTTTGGACTTGGCATCGATCCAGCTGTTGGATAAACAAATACCGTCGCTGACATTTTCTCCCATTTTGTATAATAGGATTAGCTACAGCAAATATATGCCCATGTTTACTGGCTATGCATTTTTTTTTATTTTGCAACAATATTTTCTCCATGAAACCCTGACAGAAGGTCAAAACACAAATACACCTTTCAAAAGAAATGTTGGAGTTGTCTAGGACAGTGCTTCCCAAAGTCGGGGTCAGAACCCCACTCTGGGTCTCCAAGAACTTTGCACTCATGAACTGAAGCTTTATTTCAAACTTAATTGTACAAATATGTAACTAAATTGTCATAAATGGATGTAAGTGAATATGAAATGAAGCGGTTTTCTGTAAACTTTTAAGCTTTTTAAGCTTCTTTGTTAAATCAGAGATGTCCTGAGTCACATGTTTTGACTTTGCTGTTTTGTGGGTCTGAAGTTGAAAAGTTTGTGAACCACTAAGGATCAATGTAACCAGTTTTTATAGAATATCCCATAAATACATAAACACATCTGTACAACTGTATGCTATTTAAAGGGGCATGAAGTAAGAATGGCATCTTGTGTTCAGATTTGGGTACTGCAGTTCATTTTCCAAAACAAACAAGTTCGCTCTGAGCAACTGTTGCCAGTTACAGATCAGTGGAAAACGAAAACGAGTCATTCACAATAATCTGATAAAAACATTTTGTTGTAATATTGAGCTGTTGGTTATTGGAATTATTATTTTTAGATTTCTAGCGCTGACTGTTTTTATTTACCATTAGCATTGTGTGTGTGTGTCTGCTCTGTCTTCTCGATCCCCAGTGAGTCGTGGTGGATGGCTGCTTATACTGAGCCAGGATTCTCTGGAGGTTTCTTTCTGTTAAAAGGGAGTTTTCCTCTCCACTGTCGTTGCATGCCTGCTTAGTATGAGGATTGCTGTATAGTCAGTGACTTGATGCAATTTGCTGGGTTCCTTATATAGGAAACATTATTTCTGATTGGCTTAATGAACTGTGAATTGGAATGTTTATTATGTGAAGTGCCTTGAGACGACTCTTATCGTGATTTGGCGCTATATAAATAAACTTGAGTTGAATTGAATTGAATTGTTAGCTCAACGTTAGCCTCTAGCCTTCTTTACCCAAAATTATAGTAAAATGAAAACTTCCTTTTGTTTATATCTTTTGCCTTTTTTGCCACCTCATGGGCTCACATATGACTGGCGTGGAACCAGGAAATTTGAAGGCAGGACAGATTGTAAACAATGCCTTTGTCCCTCTTTAGCCTTTTTAAAAGAAGAAGAACCAACAACCCCCCATCTGGCTTATAAGGAAATCTTTTTCTATGTAATCTTTGTTACAAAATGATTGAGACATTAGGATGTCTGGTGATTATTTTGTACTAACTTTTTTTAACATATTACACCTTTAATGAATCTTAAATGTAATTTTCCTCATATTAGAATCATATTTTACAAGAAAAGTTTTGCTAATGTGAAAAGTTAAAAAGAATCCAGGGTTACTTCGCAGCTTTGTGTGTATTTTTTAATAATAAATAAATAAATAAATAAATAAATAAATAAATAAATAAATAAATAAATAACTTTCTAAATAGTTCTACTGTAACGTGAAAACGTTTACACACCTTTAAGTATCGTGTGTTAAAAGATCTTTGATTTATGCGAATGGGCCAAAGCGCTCTGTTAAATATGACTTTACATTACATATTGTTAAACATAAATATGGTTTACTTTTGTCAGTCGAAAGTGTTGGAGAAGTGCTGCCCGAGCCGTCTTTTGAATTGCCACAGACTTTGTACGAACTGGAAAGTATAGGAGCTCTGTCTGAGACTGGACTGCTGTCTCCTGGGTTCTTGCAGAGCAGGCGGTCCGACAGCACGGGCGAGTTATTGTCATAAGGAGACACCTCCCCGCTGGATGCTTTGAGGGAGTCATTGGACAGAGATCTCAGGGAGAATGAGCCGTCAGGTCTAAGAAGGCTCGAATCCCTGCAGAACCAAAGAAAAGGAGAAATTTAAAAGCAACTCCCTGCTTCATTTTGATAATTTGGAAGCATAGTTTGATGGCAGAGAGGGAATTAAGAAATGGGAGCTCACGAATACTGAGAGTCCTTCCTCCTGAGCAGATAATCTACAACATCAGGATCAGTTTCTAGCAAAGTCATCAGCACCTCATTCTGCAGGTCTGCAGGAACCTAGAGAGGAAAAAGGGTTATTTCCTAACAGATAACTACACCAGCAAACACCAAATCCTTATTTATTTACATTAAATTATTATAAATTCCACAAACAGGATTATAAATGTTTACAAAGGTTCCTCTAACTGTTGAGTTTTGCTCAAAGAATTTTTCTTTTGCAATATTTGGCCATGACCTCTGGGGCATCATGTAAAAATGTGGTTATAGTGTAAGAAACCAGCTCTGTGACGTCTCTCCTTAGAAGATAATTGTCTTCTGACAAATAGCAGGAAAAAACAGAATAGATCTTATCCACAAAACAAAGAGAAGCTGGAAAAACTGAGTGACCCTTCCAGTGACTGTTCTCACTCTTTTATGCTTGAAGGGGACATTTTAGGACTTATAAAAGTTGTTTGCATGAATCCATCTCACATAATCAATTTCAGGAGTTTTCTTCTTGACATTTTCAGTGCCTTCCATAATGAGCCGATTCAGCACTCTGTTACTTTAAGGAAAAATGTTTGAGCTGGTCACACCCTATCCCCTGATTGGCTGCTATAAGCTGAGAAGCTCTGATATTCAGTACTTCCTTACATGTGAGAGGTGGTTTTATTCTAATTAATTCAATTAAATGTTTGAACCTGTTTGTTTTAGGCAGATAATTCCTAAAACCAAACACTGTTTGGCGCATTTATACAGCTTTCTGACATGTGATGTCACACGCCCAAGCTCCGCCCCCCAGCTTCTGGCCGGAGGGCATGAAGACGGCCCTCCCCTGTTGTTTTTATCAGTCAGTTGTACATAAATTGAGCTAAACAGCGGCTAAACAAAACTATGACGCATGTAAATGAAAGAAGGACAGTAATGTAAAATATTACAGGTTTTCAAGATAAAATACACTGACGACAATGGTTAAAAGCCATGCAGCTTGTTAGCTATTTCAGACGAATCCGGAAGCTTTGTGCTAACCAACGTTAGCTTTGCGATGTAACTTGTTGATCATCTGCACAAAGATGTGTTGGATGATTTTAAATAGTAATATCTATTATTAGTAGTAGTTTTTATTCATTTGCTTAAATCGCGGAGATAGCCTACACCTCTGGACAGTGGCTGCAGAGGGTCATTTTGGCCTCCAGCGTTGTGAGCATGTGTGGTTTTACCCTGATGTAAACAATAAAACTCAAGGGGTCTTTGGAGGCAGCAGAGACCCACATGGCAGCAAAGGTGCAAACTCCTCATAAAACAAAACAAAGAAATCTCTGTACATCTTAGTTTGGTTTGAACTCATTTCAAGCTATTTTAAAGTTTGTAGAGATTTTATCTCACCATAAACAGCGTGTCGTAGGTATCAATCATCTTTTGGACCACACTGATGATGGCTGAACTCTGTTCTGCACGGGCAAAGCTCTGGACAGCAAACTCTTTCTCTGAGTTCTTCTGCTTGTGCAGCAGATTGGGTCCAAAGATGGTGGCTAAGTTGCGTGATGTCATCTTGTTTCCTTGGATCTATAAAAGCAGATTGCGGCTTAAAACAAGCAAACACTCAGGTTTATACAGAAAAAGCAATTAAAATTAAACTTCATTCAGTTTATTTAGTCCCTTGCTTTGGAAGTAATTAAAACAAAATAATATCTAGGTCGTACGCTAGCCAAATGTGTAAATGCCTGCAGAGTGGTACAATACGTCTAATAGGTTCTGGGCTTTATTATGCAGGGCAAAACAAATTAGGAGAGAGCAGAGTGATTTTTAGAGGCACGGAGGTTGTGTGTGCTTGTGGTGCAGCAGTTCATCAATCATTTAATTCTGATTATCCTAATTGATCATCAGGTATAATGATGCTGCATTTTGGCGCGGTGCTTTCTGCAAATAAGAGGCTGCAGATGTAACAACACATCTGTCCTGCTGCCCTCTGATGGCTGCTGGGATTCATCGCAGTAAATCTGTTTATGAGGTGGAACAATAATCTCTCAAGGCTGCACGTGCTTTCATAGGGTTTAGGTCTTTCTGGTTAAAAAAGCTTTTAATACTACTATGAAAATAATCAACAAAAAATTATTTAAATATAAGATCACGTGTGTCACTGGTGTTTGAATAGTTGTTAAAGTGTATTGCCTGCAGTCCCTCGCTGTCCGTGCTGTCTTCAGCGTGTTTGGACACGGTGGACAACAAACAGAGGAGGCGCTGCAGCGTGTCGCTGTTACAGGGAGGGAGCAGCAATACCAGGAGCTGGATGGCACTCTGCTGAGATGAATTGTCCAAAACTACCGGAAAAATAAAAGAAATGCATCGATTAGTCATTTTTAAATGGTTATACAAACATAATTTGTGCTTTCCAGTGTGTGTGTGTGTGAGCCTCACGCATGGTGTGGATGAAGGCTGTGTACAGCTCTCTCGTCAGCAGCGGGTCAGGCATGTCTCGGAGGAATTTTTTTAACAAGGCGGCGATGTCATGGACACATTGCTCCTGGTCTACGGGCACATCCCAACCCTGATCAAACTCCTCCCGAAGCTGCACGAAACATTCCCAATCAGTGCCACATTTTTTAAATAGCTCAAGTGAGTTATCCAAGCGTCGAGGCTCACCTGTCGTACTCTCTTCTTGGAACTTCCAACGCGAAAAATTCCAAGAGTCTGCAATCCTGAACGATGACAACACACAGTCAATTGTGCAAATATTGTCACTTTACCTCAAACAACCAAACCAAATGCTTGACTGATGAGCTCATGGACAGGCATGCAGGTGCATTTTTGTGGATTGCGTTCATAGTTTCAGCTGTGTACCATTCTTTTCCAGATGCTGGCAGCAGAGATCCACTATCCTCGGCACCTGCCTGTAAATCGGGTTCAGGCTGAGCTTTTTGTCGCGGGGTTTCTTCCTGTTCCCGGCCGCTTCATCCGGCATAGACAGCTGCAGGGCCTCAAGGAGTCGAGACTGGTTGTCATCGAGGTCAGTGATGCAGTCCACGGACACTCCACCCTGTCCATCAGATTGGTGACAACCATTTAAAAGCAGTTGGCTCGGAGTGAATTTATGTGCCATGTTTATTCGTCTGTACTGAGTGAATATCTGAAAAGGTCAGGAAACGCTCACCCTCCTGTGAGTGCGTGGGGCTGTGTCTGGTGTGCTGGGCAGAGGCGATTCATTATGGCTCTCAGAGTTGGAGCTCAGGGATGAGTTGCTGCTAGAGAGCTCCTTGTTAGTCCTCTTAAGGCTAGAGGACAGGTGAAGGAAGGATAGCATCAGTTCCGTGGGGTTAGTCTGCTCCTCCCGCAGGTGATCGTGCCGCAGCTTGTGTATGCGATCGTTGGCGATGACATGCAATAGTGGAATGCCAAACACCTGTGGCATAGTCTCTGTGTGAGAAAGGAACAAAGAGAGAAAACAGGGATAAATAATAGAGTTGGCCACAAGGCACTATAGTACGGAAGGTGATTAGGGCCACTGAAAAAAAAAAGATTTTTATCGGAATTCAGAAAAGTCAGAATTCTGAAAGTCTGAATTTTGTCCAGAATTCACATTAATGTCAGAACTTGGAGGAAAGAAATTGAAGATAAAAATATTTTAGATTTAAGATTTCTGGGGTTACAGTCAGATTTTTAAGGCTAAAGTGGGAATTTTGAGATTAATGTCAGAATTCTGAGGAAATATTCTGAGGAAAAAAGTCTGAATTCAGAGGGAAAAAATGGATCATTTAGAAATTAATGTCAGAATCCTGAGATTTCATCTGAATTCAGATTTTAAAAAATTGAGGAAAAAAATATCTAAATTCTGAGACTAATGTCAGAATTCTCAGCATAAAGTCAAAATTACTATGATTGTTTTTATTGTGTGTGTGTGTGTGTGTGTGTGTGTGTGTGTGTGTGTGTGTGTGTGTGTGTGTGTGTGTGTGTGTGTGTGTGTCTAATCCTCTTGTGTACCTGATACATTCTAAACTGTTTTCAAGTCACATTTAGCTTCCATCTTGGATTACTGAAAATTAAGTGGTCAGTTTTAACCCTTTGATGCATAATGGTCACTATAGTGGACAGGTACTCAAAACTGTTATTTATTTGTTTTTGCTATTAAGCACAGCTGTTGAAGACTTTATTGCATTTGAGCCCCTCCATTTGGACTTCAGTGAGTCAAGCCAACATATTTCATGTTCAGAACGCACGCCGTCCACCGAGCTGGACATTTAATAAATTATATGTAAATGATTACATTTTATAAAAAATATTTGTTGAAATTTGTTTCATTCACACCTAAAGATGAATGAAAAAAATCATGGTTGAAGATTTCATAATTCATGCATCAAAGGGTTCATATTTAGATAAGAATAGCAAGATGGGACTTCATTTACTCAAAGCACATTCCTTCCTAAGTGTCTTTGTAAACAAAAGGAGCGAGCAGAAAAAAGGGCCTGGGAATGCTGGAGGACAGGCCGCACCAACAGAGTTAGCACTTAAGATTGTTTTCAGTTGCGTCCCTCAACTGCCTCTTTCTGACTGAGAACATCACTTTCCTGCCGCATTGTTGCAGCGGGCGGGGCAGCGAGGCGGCCGAAGACCGCAGCTTCCTCTGTTACTGTAAGATTCGGATCAGTGGGATATAAACAGCTGAGAGCAAAAACGGCTTCAGCTAAAAGGACAGGGGCTAAAAAAGCAGGAACTGTCTAAGAAAACTCACTGTGTGCATGCCAAACTTCAATTAAAATATTTTAAAACAACAAATGAGAATGGCACTACTCTAGTGTATCATATCAGGAGTAAAACTACCTTTATCTTTGTTCTTCTCTTTAGATAATGAATCCAACTTCCTTCTAAGAGACTTCTTGTGCTTGAGGCCACCTGAAAAGATGAATACAGAAATAGATTTAGCACCTATTCAAGGTTGCTCCATTATTTATTATTTAAGCTTTTTCCCCTAATTTCTACATGAAGAAAGGCTTCACAAAGATGAAATATTAATTCAACATAAAAAATAAATCCTGTTGAGATTTAAAGAAGACCTAGAAGGCAGTTATTCAGCAATCTAAAACTGATCTTTGATCAAATTTGTTGGAGCTTAAAATGTCCCAGGAGCCCTGAGAAAAGACCAACTAAAACATGCATCAGAATCATCCATGTGCAATGAGCACAAGGTCAATATGTTATTTTTATTTTGTTGTCATGCGTGTGCATGATGACAATAAAGAATTCTTATGAAAGAACAACCTCAGAGCCGATTCTTCACAAAAAAATACAACTTTTTTTCAATCAAAGTCACCATTGTAACACAATAGGTCTTAACGACATCAATGACTCATTGGAGGTGGAGAAGAGGTTTTCAAAGGTAGTTTCAGCTTGTTAAAAAACAACAGACTCTCCCATATCACAGTCAAAATTGCCAAATCAGATAAGAAGAAACATTTTGAAGAACCCAAAGAAGTCCAGTTGCCTTCATTTGAACCCTTTAAATTAACCAATTTTCACTTTTCGTATAGATCACTACTGCACACCCACAGGTAGAGTGGGTCTATTAATTATAGTATATTAATTAAATTCTGTGTATTCCAACATATAACATTCAGGAGGAATCCATTAAATCAAGACAAGCTGGATTGATTTTTGAGAAATCTGACCAGATTGATGAGCTAACCGCTAGTCTGAGCATGGTCAAGAACATGGTTTATTGTTGCTGCTTTAAAACAACTCAGACCTAAATAATATCATAGCAGATCTTGTGGATGTTGTTTTTTACTTGGCAAAAATACTGTGAGATATTTTCAAGAACTTTTCCATGCTGAAAAGGAAGTGCTAATGCTAACTGCTGCTGCTATTTGTGATTGAAATAGCCATATAAATCTATAAAAAGTGATGGAGATGTAATGGTTTATAAAAAGCATTTGCATCCACTGCTGTGTGTCCTAGGTGGATAAGTACATTTAGGGATGGTGATGTGGCAACCCAAGTCATGACAGCGAACCAACCGCCTGAAGGCAACTTCCTGGAGACGAACCCGTTCCAATTCAGAGAGACTTTGCAGGGGGACGGGCTTTAGGCAAACATTGTGGCCTAAGGTGCTGTTCCAGGTGAAGTCACCCTGAGGAAACACATACACAAACACACATTAGATACTAAAGTGGTGTCAAATTACATTCCTGTACTAATTTAAAAGGCCTGAGGTGTCAACATACTCGCAAATACCACTTCTATACTCACCAGTTGAGTTTGATTAGCCTTGTAAATTTAAAGGAGATATACTATGACTATTTTCTTCAGTTATAATAGTACCACGGTCAATTCCAAACTTATTAATGGCGTTCTTTCCATAAATCTCTCTCACATAGTGATTGCTGCAGTTTTATTCTTGATAGTTTCAGTACGTTCCAGAATGTGTCGTTTCAGCGCTTTATCACTTTAAAGCTGTTTTAGCAAATCTGCAAACAAGCTAGGTTTTGATGATCGCAAACATGAACACTCCATTTTTCTCCACAATATATTTACAGCTATACTAAGTTAGAATGTAGTTAAGAGGAAATAAAATAAAAAGAGGTTATTTGTTTTTCAAATTTGCCATCGCAGCTTTAAGGAAACAAGCTGGAGCTGGCCACACCCACCCGTCTCCACTCTGCGCGGCTGCTATAAGATGAGAAAATCCGATATCCGGGAGGGCCTCAGAATAGAGCTGCTGCTCCTCCAGCTCCTCCTTTTCTTTTGCACCGAGAAGTGGTTCTTTGCTAATTTCCCCATTTGTGATGTCACAAACGGGGACTTTTTGAAACAGCTTGTTTTGGGCACATAATTCCTAAAGCCAAAAACTGACAGTAAACAGATGAATAGAGTTTTGGTGTGCTTATAGAGGCAGAGGAGACCTACCCTGCAAACAGTCAATGTTGTATGGATGTGCAGATCATGTCTACATTGAGTCTGTCGGTCCAGACCACGTCTGTAGGACGTCCAAACTAGGCCTTTGCACAGTGGGTACATGGTAGCACAAAATGATGCAAAAAGTGAGTTTTGCATTACATGTCCCCTTTAAAGCTGCATTTTCTTTGTTTTATTATTTTAGATTTGGTAATCGAGATGAACGGAGTCGAAATTTTAAAAGTAATTTACAAGCTAAATTGGACCAGCTCTCTAACTGCAAACACCAACTATAAAAGCTGATTGTGCAGATTAACCCACTAGGCAAAAAGCCTTCTGGTCACTAAGAATGCACATTTTTACAGCTTCTGAAAGCAAACGGACTCATTCTAATTCTAATCCTCCATACTTTCTGCATTATTATGTATAATTTTACTACACAGGGAAACAATTCTCAGCTAATCTTTTATTAAACTAAACCTCAAAGTCCTTTATGGCCATTCTGAAGATTTAGTACGAAGCATATAATCAGATTTTAAATTCTCTACTTTTGAGCATCTCCGTGTTGGAGATTACAGCGCTTTGATCCACAACTATTGAGCCAATCATATGAGCCGTGTTCCAAAGAGGCTTAGAAAGTCATTATTCAGGATAAGGCTTACATCAAATTGGCTCACTTCCATTAGATGAGAATTAGGACTGAGCTACAGTAGCAGATATAATTGAGTTATACACATACAGTATGACAAGTGTAATATAAATACAGATAAACACAGCACACAGTCAGGGAGGTGTCCGCAAATTCCTTCTGATTCATCACAACAACTCCAAACAGAGTCATGAAGAAAGATCTGCAGACGTCAAGGAGTCATGTAGCAACTAGTGTGGCTGACAAGAGTTTTGTTTCAACATCATCATCATGTCAGTTTGGGATTAAATGATAAAGGGAAGCATTTGGAACTGTCAAATTATGTGATTCTTCAAAATAAAATGCTCAAATGTAACAAAGAATGGTTGTTGGGTAATTTTATCAATCCAGGATTACCTTAGGGAAGTTTTATCCATCAATGGTGTTATCAAGAAGCTTTATTGCCATTGAACCAGCGTCCCGGTACAACGAGATGACAGTTCCAGTTATGTTTGCTGCAAAGTTTTATTCGAATGAGCTGTTCTAGGGTTGTCTTAAGGGAGCCAAGTATAAGCAAGAATGTCTCAAATATAGTCTAGTGACTTTCAAAATCAAGCATTCTCATTTTAACAAATATTTCATTTCAGCGGATGAGCCCCTCACCTAACTCAATAGTAATCCCACATGATCTGTTTTCAATAGTGCACCGATTGTTACAACCCTAGGCTGCACAAATAAACAGGCATAGTTTCTCATTCTGCATTGACTCCAGCTGGGCTTGGAGAGTGAGGATACCCACCCAATATAGCTGCGACACTGTTACGCTCTTCATCGCCCAATGGTGGGTCTATGTATTAATGTCTATGGTGCCATTCCCTTGTTTCCTAACAAATATTTAAATACACTAAATGTTTTATCAGCAGGGAATCATTTACAAGATTACCATTCAAAAACATACAATGAGTCTCATCTGAAGCATTTTTAACTCTGAACAGCTGCTTGAACTGTGCTAATGGTAATAATCCACACTTTACGAAGTTTTTTTGCACATCTGCTTTCTTTTGCAGTAAACAGTGACAGAAACTATTATGAGTTCAGCAGATGGAGCAGAGCACACATCTCAGCACGACACCAGGAAGACGATCTAAACTCCAGAGAGAGTAGCAGTTTGTCAGCTTTGTTAAACGTGACTGTTCATGTGACTTTGTGAGAAATGCAGTAAATGACTATGTTACTCGTGTTAAAACGTCCCTCTGGTGTGATCGTGTTTCTTTCCTTACATCTTGATGTAAAGATCAGATGACATCAGTTGTTACACTTTCTCTACGTCAATAATACGTCTTTAAATAACAGCCTTTTATTTTCTAAGCATTGTGATGAACGTTGATGCAATCCCCCTTTGGCTATGACATAATAGCAGGTTTTAGTGAGTCAGGCCCAAACATGCCATCAGGGTGCAGTTCTCGTCCAATATTTCTGCAATTATTAACAGGCGGTGGATATTTGCAAAGGGCTCTTTCAAATAACGGCCTATAATCGTTGGAATTTGTCACAGTAGAAGGAAATCCGATCCCGACAGCTGTTCCTAGTTATTACGGAGCATTTGCTGTCATTGAGAGATGAAGTTACATCCACATATCTCGCAGGATAATATTTTCACATAAAACTCCTCTACCTTGCTTTGTTTCTTTATATTTCACCTAAAATAAATCAAATCTTCTATTAATTCCTGAAAAAACTTCCAAATAAACCAAAACTATGCAGCTAAAATTCCTTTTTTTCCTTTTCTGTGCATCAGGTGCATTTGCTCATGCACTAATTTTAATTCAAAGCCTGGCTCAAACACAGCAGCACTTCCTAGAGTACAATGAGAGGAAATGTGCAAGGTAGTTTGTACATTAAGTCCTGGATCTAAAGCTCTGATTACACTGATCAAGCACGCTTGAGTGAGATCCCCCGAATGATCCTGGAGTGAGACTTTTTGACACCATTCAGTGAGACTTTTTCAGTAAAAAGTTACAACTTTCTGGACATTATTTGGTCAAAGATCAAAGGTTAATCCTAAATTAGTTTAAATATTTAAAAAATTTTGTTTTGTTAATATTACTTTCTTTTTTGCTTTTAAATTAGCCTTTTTCTGTGATTTTAGCTGAATGCTTGCTGAAACAAGCACAGAAACTTTTCTACAAACCAAAACTTGTGATTTCCATTAAAACGGGCCAAAACTAAAATATATTTTCCCAAAAGTTTACATTTTTAACTCATTTAATTCCCAAAAGTTTACATTTTTAACTCATTTAAGATTCTAACTGTTCATCTTTTTCATGTTATTATTCATCTGAAAAATAATTTAAAACCTCTCAGAAGGAAAGTGGCAGTTTACTCACAAGATAAATGACGCTCCTTTCTTGGGTAACAGGATCCTCCATCACAGATTACATATAAAGTCTGCTTTCCACAGAAGAGGAATGACCCCTAAAGCACTTTAGTCCCAGACTTTCCTGTCGAAATGATCCGATGCACCAGACGGTCTCCATCTCAGTAAACTGCTATTTTAAACACCGCCGGCAGATGGAGCCATGCTTGAGTTGGAAAGAGGCCAACATGGAGTCCCAATCCCAATGAGCAGCATGAATACTGAATAATTTACTTATAGGTGGGGTTGACAGAATGAGCTCAGACCCTGGAGTGTCTGTGGTATACAGCTGTTTTAGAATAGAATAGAATAGAATAGAATAGAATAGAATAGAATAGAATATCCCCGGTTGTCCATCAGCGAGGACATTTTGATGTCAGCAGCAACACTGATTCACAGAATCAAGTAAATTTCAATACAGGAGCGAAAACTATATAAAGACTAAAAAAATGAATAATGAAAGGACAAAAACACATATTCTCTAAAAAAACAAAACATTTAATTGTACTTATCACGTTAAATACAGAGTAATAAAATGTAGGTAGATATTTAGCCAAATAGATTAACAACAGAAACTGCAAATAAGCAGGAATGCAAAGGACTGCTTACTGGTTTTGTTGGGAGCAGCAGTGGTCATAGAGTAACAGCTGCTGGGAAGATGGAGCAATGATAATGTTCCTTCCTGCACTAAATAATGATTCTTTAATTTGATTCCAACATTAAAAGGTGACAGTAGCACAGGAGCTAATTGCTCGCCCTGTAATCGGAAGGTTGCAGGTTCGAGCCCCGCTCAGTCTGTCGCTGCCGTTGCGTCCTTGGGCAAGACACTTAACCTACCTTACCTGCTGGTGATGTACGGCAGACTCGCCTCTGTCAGTGCGCCCCAGGGCTGCTGTGGCTACAATGTAGCTCATCACCACCAGAGTGTGAATGTGTGTGTGTGAAAGGGTGAATGAAATTGCTTTGGGGGGTGCCAGGACTCTAGAAAGTGCTAGATCAAATAGAGCACATGTGTCAAGACACAAGGCCCCCGAAATAAATATCAAAAATATATTAAAATTGACCCGCTGGCTGATACAACATCCCATGATGCATTGTGGTGTTAGCGCGGAGCCAAAGTGCCCTCGCCTTTGTGTTTTTTCCAGTGTCTGCTGCCGGTGTCTGCAGCTCCTCGGTCTCGGACAAACTAAACACTTCTCTCACTCAGCGCTGAGTTTACTCAGCTATTTGCCGACGTTGAAGCCCAAAAATGGAGATTTTAACCGCTCAGTAATGTGTTCTTGACTGAAAGAGAAAGTTTTCCAACTAACTTCCAGACAGAGCTGATATAACTCCAGCGAGCAGCGACACGCTCAAACCAGCATGACTCTGTGGCTGCTGTAGTTTTTATTTTTCCTCCCCGACACACAAAAATATGGTCAAGCTGCTCAGACATGTTCACCAGCACAAACCTATGTGAGCACCTGTTGTCATCTAATGTTGTCATTATTATGATGAAGATGAACAAAACAACAGGAGTCTCCTCCTCAGCTCAGATCAACCCCATGATGCAGGTATCTGGCTGGAACAGGTGAGCATCACAGTAAACCAGTGGAGCAAACTGAGCTTTAAATATTTAGGTTTTATGCTCTTTTTCTGCTCCAAAACATGAAAGTTAACAGGTGTGTGTGTGTGTGTGTGTGTGTGTGTGCGTGCGTGCGTGAGTGTGTGTGTGTGTGTGTGCGTGCGTGCGTGCGTGCGTGCGTGTGTGTGTGTGTGTGTGTGTGTGAATGTGTGTGTGTGAAAGTGTGTGTGTGAAAGGGTGAATGAAATTGCTTTAGGGGGTGCCAGGACTCTAGAAAGTGCTAGATCAAATAGAGCACATGTGTCAAGACACAAGGCCCCCGAAATAAATATCAAAAATATATTAAAATTGACCCGCTGGCTGATACAACATCCCATGATGCATTGTGGCGTTAGCGCGGAGCCAAAGTGCCCTCTCCTTTGTGTTTTTTCCAGCGTCTGCTGCCGGTGTCTGCAGCTCCTCGGTCTCGGAGAAACTAAACACTCCTCCCACTCAGCGCCGAGTTTACTCAGCTATTTTCCAACGTTGAAGCCCAGAAACAGAGATTTTAACCGCTCAGTAATGTGTTCTCGACTGAAAGAGAAAGTTTTCCAACTAACTTCCAGACAGAGCTATAACTCCAGCGAGCAGCGACACGCTCAAACCAGCATGACTCTGTGGCTGCTGTAGTTTTTATTTTTCCTCCCCGACACACAACAATGTGGTCAAGCTGCTCAGACATGTTCATCAGCACAAACCTATGTGAGCACCTGTTGTCATCTAATGTTGTCATTATTATGATGAAGATGAACAAAACAACAGGAGTCTCCTACTCAGCTCAGATCAACCCCATGATGCAGGTATCTGGCTGGAACAGGTGAGCATCACAGTAAACCAGTGGAGCAAACTGAGCTTTAAATATTTAGGTTTTATGCTCTTTTTCTGCTCCAAAACATGAAAGTTAACAGGTGTGTGTGTGTGTGTGTGTGTGTGTGTGTGTGTGTGCGTGCGTGCGTGCGTGCGTGCGTGTGTGTGTGTGTGTGTGTGTGTGTGTGTGTGTGTGTGTGTCTTTAACATATGTTTCATATAAAAAAACCTTATTAACACTAATCTTTATTCTAAAAGAAATGTATTCAGTTTTCCGACTATAAAGTAGGATGAATGGCTCCACCTACAGTTCATAAATGTCTCTACAACTTCAATGAGAACGTGAGTAGAAAACCTTTTTTCCCCCCAGTTGTTTAGAGCATTATATAAAATGTTCCCTTAATGCTTTCATAATAACCATCTTATTTAAAGTTTTATGAGAACAAAACTGAAACAGAATGTGGAAATGAAAAGGAAAGCATCCTGAACGCTTTGCCTAAAGGGATGTTCTAAAGTCATAACCAGAGAGTAGATAAGCAACGGGGACAAGGAAACAATATGTGATGTTGAAAGGGAGTTGTGAGCATATTTTAGGATTAGAGAAACTTATTTGTGTCACATTAAACAGCAGCTGACTTGGGGAAGAATTGCCGCAGTAATAAAGAGCATGTAGAGCACCGCAAGGTCAGATCTGCAAGGTAACTGAGACAGAAATACATGGAGATGTTATTCTTGTTAAAACCACTTAAAATACAGATTTAAATACTTCTGATCTTCCTGAGATTCTGGGATAAGTTTTCATAAAGCTTTAAGTACTGAGCGTTCCAGAGTTGTTGGTAAGAGGATGAACGGAGATCTGTGAAAAATTCAAGACAAACAAGCTGATTTTAGTTCATCTGACACCTTGATAAGTCGTAACCATCTGAAGCACACTGTTTTCTCACAGAGTGGATGGCTTTAATTGAGTTATAATATAAATAAACACTTGATGCTTTTGCGCTGTTGTTGTGAAAGCCTGCACGTTTAGCCCCTGCGCCATGCAAAGGCACGGTCTCTGGTGGGAAGAAGTATGCGCCTGAGGGGCTGTAGGCAAGGATCAGGTCATTCTGCTGCACTGTGAGAAGCACGAGTCGCGGCTGTCTTCATGTAAACCAGATGTCTCTGTTTTCCATCTCAACTCAAGCTGCAGCCCACTCAGAATGAGGACATCGCTAGTGCTGCAGTTTTCACTTCAGTTTTCACACTTCAGTTTTCAACCTGCAGTGTATGGAAAATTTTTAATCACATGAATGAAAATAACTTTTTTTGTTGTCTGTCACTGTTGTCTCTCTGTCACTGTTGTCTAAGCCGGATGAGGTCTGTCATGCCACAAACTCAGTAAAGTTAACAATGCAACAGGAGGAGTATCAAAAATGCCAAGCAGAGGTAAAGCATTCATCCATCTATTTTCTGAACCCGCCTGTCCATGTGGGGTCGCGGGGGTGGGGGGTTGGGGGGGGGATGGGGGTGGTGGGGGAGGGGGGGGGGGGGTTGGGGGTGGAGGGGGTGGGGGGTGGGGGTCTATCTCCAGCGGTCAATGGACAATCAGTCAGGGTACACCCTGGACAGATAGCCAGTCCATTGCAGGGCAACACAGAGACACACAGGACAAACAATAATGCACACGCACGCACGCACACACACACACACACACACACGCACACACACACAACCTAAGGACAATGTAGACAGACCAATTCACCTAACAGTCATGTTTTTGGACTGTGGGAGGAAGCCGGAGTACCCGGAGAGAACCCACGCATGCACAGGGAGAACATGCAAACTCCATGCAGAAAGATCCCAGGCCGGGAAGCGAACCCAGGATCTTCTCGCTGCAAGGCAACAGCTCTAACCACTGCGCCACTGCACAGCAGAGGTAAAGCAGAGGTACACAATTCTGATCCTGGAGGGCCGGTATCCAGCCCATTTTAGTTTTAACCCTGTTTCAACACACCTGATTTCAATCAGCAGGTGATTAAAAGGCTTCTGAGCTTGATGAGCTACTGCACACATGATTCAACCACTGAATCAAGCGTGTTGGAGCAGAGAAACCACTAAAACGTGCTGGACCTCTATAACCAGGATTGGGCAACCCTGCTGTAGAGGAAACCTGCTCGGACATATAATGCACGTGAAAATTGTCTTCTACCCCTATTTCCTACATTAGCCACAGAAAGAAGACAGGGGATCGATCGGGTCAGAAAAACTTTGATCTACGTCACACTGTAAATTTGCATCACTTTGGCTCGTGGTCACGAAAAGCTGCATCAATGTAGCGTCCAGGAAAAAGCAGTGCTCCTCGGCTAGTAGAAGCTAATGGTTAGCAACTCCCCTACATGGCAGAACTCCTTCAGGTTTGTGTTTTTTGTGAAGATAAAACATCAACATTGCATGAAGAGCAGAGACAGTGGAAGAGTGGCATTGCTGTTAGCCAATCAGAGGTGAGATATTTGAAAATCAGGAATTATAATGATTAAAACTTCAAATCCTGTCATTTTTTTACCCCACAGTCTCCCAGCTAACATCTTCTTCCTGAACTCGGAAACTTTACACTTGGAACTCACAAGACATTCATTCATACTAAAGACCACCGCAAATTTATTAAAATAACGAGTGTAGGCCCATTAAAAAAATATGAACATTTAAAAGCCATAAATGTTCCTGGTAGTGATTCATAAACCTCTACATTGCAACAATGTCTTCATCCGTTACTTACATAAAACTAAAAGTGCAAATCTCAGCAACAGTTTTGGCACAAATATTGTAACAGTTCTGCCAGAATAACAGCGTAATGCAAAACTGACAGTGATGTAAAGGGTAATAAAATAAAACTTGCATGAACTGCTATGAATTTGTTGAGACTGGAGCTGTTTTAAGATGACAACTACACAATTTGAGCCTGCCAATCCAGACAGAATGTATCCACATTTCACCAAACTGAGGTAATTCAACGTTATAAACACATAAAATATGAATTAATAGTAAAGTTATAATGAAATATCAAATCATTAGAGTTTGAGCACCCTGCCGCATGGGCTACCATTAAGTGGACGTGCTGAGATTATCATGGGAGTAAATGTGCAGAAGTTTTATGTAAAAAACACACTTTTGTGCTTTTACGGCTCTTGTTTTTTTTTTGTTTTTTTTTTGGATTCTTTAGTCCCCCAGTGTCTGAGCGCACGCCCACAAAAATGTGACTTTGATTACTGGAGTAAGGTTTACATACAAAGGCACGTACTTTGTGACTGTAAGCTGACAGCACGGTCATGTGAGCCTCGAGGAAGGATTTCAGACGACCTCATAAGTTCAACTCCAACTGCAGTTTTAAGATTACAGCATCTACTGGTAATTGATGATTTATAACAACTCCCTTTGTTTTCAGCCAAAGAGGCAGCGTTTTCCAGCTTTGCTATTCTTGACAATAAGCAGGCGTGTGGTGACCCATGCAACTTCCTCCTAAAAGTCATAAATTACCATCAATAACTCCAGGGAAATTCTGCATCATTCAGCTGTTCTAAAATAGAAGAACGTTGGCTGTATGATCAAAGTCGTTATATCTGGAGTTCATTATAAGTCTAATACAGGTCTGTGATACATTTCCAATTTGATAAACAAACACTGTTACTATGACGACCAGTTCAAGCAGTCTTACAGACTGTTTTGTTTAGTAATATGATCGCTTAAAGAGATTTTCCGCCCTGGTTTAAGCTTCTCATTGTGTTGTAATTTTGCTTTCCTTTTGAGTTGAGAATGTTTGTATTTAGTTAGATCTGAGACTAATAAGAGATCATGTAAGAAGTCCTCAAGGGATATGCAGATTGCAATGCAAAAGTCCACAGACTTTGTTTATATTTAACCATACACAGACTGTGCAACTTCTTTAAATCCATCCCAGCTTAGTGCATTCCTGCAGAAATCTGCTTTTATTTCGGTCTTGAAATGCGAGATTCAGATTTCTGAATCTGAGCCAAGGGAAAGTTTTCCATCCCACGGGGTGAACTGAATCCCATTTTGTGGTGAAATACGCAACAAATTGTGGATGTCCAACTGTATATGGCACAAACGTGTTAGTCACAAACATGGAAATGTTGCAAGAACAGGGAACCATGATTGATCACTTGTTGTTTTTGTTTTCTTCTTATTCTCCTTCACTGGTATTTCTGCAACCAATGATGCAATTATTCAAAATGTGCATTTAAATTAATATATTAGGTTAGGAAATGCCTGATTGGATTAGTAATTCATAAAGAAATTTCAATCACTTCCGGAATTGTGGAACAACTTATCCGTTCTTACAAGCACAACGATATGAAAAAGTTTTCCAAAGGGGTTTTCAGCTGCACAAGTTATGCAGAATCATGTAAATGAACGTTAATTATATTATTGTTTTATTCACATGTCTAAAGCCACCTGTCGGACGAGTCACCGACCTTACACGAAGTCTCCTCGGCTTCGGTACCATAGTGTCGCATCAGCGTCGACTCCAGGCTCCTGGTCTGCCTCAGTTTCCTCTTGGCGATACTTTTGGGGCTCAGCGAGCAGGAGAAAACGCTGCTCAGCAGTCCCTGAGCGGACATGTCTCCCTCTAGTCGGTTCACATGAGGATGAATAAAACCATCTCCCGCAGATCTGATCCGAGCCCGGTGAGAGGAGCTCCAGAGGTGTCGACCCAGCGCGCAGAGACGGTATTATGAAATGCGCGCCCGTATGCGCAGGTCACCTCCTCCTAATCCCAAACGCGCACTGACTCAGCCTGGCTTCCGGCTGCAGCTCAACTCCAAACATGACACCAGAAGATTGCAGGCGAGTGTTTTATTCATGTGTGACTCAACTGTCAAAGATTTCAATAGATTATTGTGCAAAAAAGAGACTTACTGACGAACACAAACAAAGGCTGCTGTTTTTGTTAGAATTTGTTAGAATTCGTGAATTGTTGGAGATAAATAAAACGCAATCCGAGAAATAACAATAAATATCAATAACAGGTCCATGTGAATGATAAGTTTCTTCTAGTTCTGCTCTAACAGTGAATGTCACACACTCAGGGGTGGCCACAGAAAAGTTTCATGGGGGGGACATAGAAAATTTTAGGGTGGCACAACATATTGGTCCTTGTGGTAGTTCCTGGAGTGTTTAGCCTTTGCAGTGCTTCTTCGTTCTTTGTCAATAAAAGCAAAGTGCATCCAACACGATTTGCTCAAATTTAGGAAACAAAAACATTTCAGTTGCTGACAAGGTAGATAATAATGTTTTGCTGCTCTGTGTATGGGCACTGGAATCAGAAAAAGAAAACAGAATTAGTATAACTAAGATAGTTTGTTTTGTTATTTTAATTTCAAAATCTATTATTTTAGCATATTGAATTATTCAATTAACCCGTTGCTGTCTTAAAGTGACAGTGTGTGTTTTTCCTGGCGATAGGGGGCAGTAGATACCTAAATTGTTGCAAGCAAGCAGTATTTATGTGTTGGAGTAAAACCTTACCAACGGATGCCCATTAGGGTAAAAAAGCCCCGGGGAGTGCAAACTTCAGCAAAATAACGACTTCCTTTCATCACTGGCAACAAGTGAAGAGATAAATAGGGCAAAACAACAACATTTGAGAATGGAGAAAGTTTTGTAACTGTTGGTTTCAACTCTTGGCCATTTTGTCCTCGTGGGCTCCCATGAGGAAACATGGCATCTAATATGGCGCCACCCAGAGACTTAGACCCACTCCCATGTATTGTAGACCTGCTTTTTATGGTTATATGTTAAGGAACCTCCAATGTTTTTCAACAACTAGGACTTATTTAATTTATTTTCAACAACATTTTGATGGATGCTTCCAGAAATTAATTGTAAAAACTACACATTGTCTCTTTAAAAACAGACACACATTGATCTTTATAGCATTTGAAAAGGGTATTTGGTAGCAACATATTTTTATCATGATTTGTTTATTTACTCAATAATTCTGGTTTATTTTTATGTCTTGCATAAAGTAGATTAATTTATGGTTTGAGTGAACATGAACAGGATTTATTACAATTGTGTGTGTTTGTGTGTGTGTGTGTGTGGGGGGGGTGTCTTCCTTTTCCAGAGGGCGCCCTGGCCACCCTTTGGGGGCACCACTGTGCCCACTTTGCCCACATTAGTTGCCTTTCTTCATCACACTGCATTTCTAGTTTCACTAAGAGGAGGTGGAGATACATGGCATGCCATGCCCTCTGATTGGACCCTTCCTGTGGGAGCCCTGGGGAAGAGACCAGTGTGATAACATGACATGTGAACAAGCACTGTATGGCCTCGATAAGGATTCATCTGATACCAAAGAGTCCGCCAAACAGACAGGGGAAGTGGTGATAAGTGGGTGGCTTTATGTTTGA